AGGAGAGAGAGAGAGAGAGAGAGAGAGAGAGAGAGAGAGAGAGAGAGAGAGAGAGAGAGAGAGAGAGAGAGAGAGAGAGAGAGCTCTGCCACGTGGCTTTTCTCCAGCAATCGCTGCCAACTTCATGCAATTCTGTGTGAGTGGGACAAGGGACAAAGCCTCACAAAGGCAGAGAATATGAATAAGATGAGAGGAAGGGTGGGTGGGGTCTTTAGAGGGGTTCATCTGGAGAAGCAAATGGCATATTACTGTGGGGTGACTGTAATCTGTCTAATATCCCACCTCTACAACAACCTGGTATTTTTTGAACGTTAAAAAAAAAGGAATAAGCTAGGAAACGCATAACCATATTAAGCAAGGAATATCATAAGCAAGCCAAGCGGAAAAAACAGACCTATAGGGGTGCCATATTTCTTAGCCCGAGATTGATGATACTTTTTTCCGTTTGACATGTTTCTTTTTTGGATAAGTACGTTTATGTCACCTTTGAGTATCGAATGGGCAAAAAAAACACGCGTCGGCAAAGAAAACCGAGTTCGAAAAGGCAACGGAAGTACCGACGACCGTCCTGTCAGACCGGGTGTCATATTTACAGGGGTCGGCCGTGGTGTCAGAGGGGAAAACAAAAAACAAAGAAAATGCCCAACGGATACTTTTGGACCGAAATCACTCATTTCGAGTTGGAGCGTGGTTTCTTTGCCGGTGCGTGTTTTTTTGCCTTTAGGGTTTCAAAACATGCCGCATCCGCGGTTATTTCTTCTTTTTTTCAAAAAGAGCTGATCCATCTTGTTATCAGGAAAATAGAGACTGAGGGCAGGGACCTCACAACTTCAACCCAGATGAATGGGGCCATTACCCAGCTTCGGCTAAGCGCTGGAAACCCAGTCCAGCGTCCAACCCTACTTTCCTCAAAAGTACTATTAACTTTTTCAAAGTGTCCTGAAGCTCAATCAACTGAAAAGAGGAACCAGTCCCCTCAGAAAGAAGCAGTGACACGCCTTGTTGTAGATACGGAGGCCTAACCATCATTGTCGTCTTTCCGTTTTCCTTCTTTTTGCTTAGGGAGGATATAGCTTCAATCTATTGTGGGGAGCAGCACTTCAAGTTGCTCTAAACTGGGTCCAGCCGCATCCAGCTTTTCCGACCTTTTCGCACAGCAAGCATGAAGTACAGAGTTAACAGGACATAAGTAATTGCTCTGCTTGGAAGATCCAGAGGATTGACTGGCTGTCGAAATCATGGTATGTATCGGCAGAACTCCTGAAGCCTGACCATAAATCAATGTCATGAAAGCAGGGACGGGACTCCGAGTATGCCAACTCGAGCTTTAAATCAACGCCCTCCAAACTTTCAAAGCAGAAAATATGCCTTAGAGTTTCAACAAGAACACCAAGAAAACTCAGCTGAGCTCAAATTTGCTTGTATGGTTCGAAAGGTGGAGATTGAAAATTCTCACAGAGAGCTCCCGGCAGCCTCCTTTGTCCATACACCAACCTGTGACCGCCCCAGTGAAACACGCTGCAGCCAGATCCATCCGGATCAGATTCTGGCCGTAATTGCTCTCGGATCGCTTCAGAATCTGGCTGTAACTGCGCTCAGACAGATTCACACTGTCCAAGTACCAGCGTAAATAAGCTCAAAAAATGAGACACATTTACAAAGTGCCAGCCTGAGGGTGAGTACTGCACTGAGCACTCTAAAACTCTGGCTCGCAGAAGACGCGGTTCTTTGCAGGCTCTGTGTCACCTATCTCATTCTTGAGGAAACAGCAGAGCCGTCCGTTTGACCATCCCTCGCGAAGTGGAATCCATTCGATTCCAGCACACTCTGAGTTGGCGTCACACCTCTTTTTGCACCCTTTCAAAGACCTAGCGTCTCTATGGGATACACAATCGATGTCTTCAAAGATACTGCCATCGTCGTCTATGTTCCAACGACAGTTGTAGCGCCTACGGGAAGAACCCATGACCGTTGACGGTTATACAGCCAGCAACACCAGGCCAATGGCCACCAGAACGGCCATCACCAGACTGGCAGACTGCTGCTTCATCTTGTCGACACAACCTTTAAAGTTCACTGCAGCCCTGAGAGGATGGCAAATGCAGCACAAACACAAACACACACACACACACACACACACACACACACACACACACACACACACACACGAAAACACAATAACACAGACACACACACACACAAAGAGAGAGAGAGAGAGAGAGAGAGAGAGAGAGAGAGAGAGAGAGAGAGAGAGAGAGCAAATAGCATACACATATGAGCATAACATACTGAAAGTCAGAAGCTGAAGAGGATATAGTAAGAAACCAACAAGCACGGGTGTGGATAATCCATCTACTGTTCTCTCTCTCTCTCTCTCTCTCTCTCTCTCTCTCTCTCTCTCTCTCTCTCTCTCTCCACATCCATCCATCCATCCAAACGCCGTTCGGAATGAATGTGGCACTATATACAATCTTAGTCTGTAAGCATTAAAAAGATGTAGCATTTACATGAAACGTTTATACATCATATTTGTCTGCGCTACTATGAGGTGCAAGAAAAAATAATAATAGAGTACATGCGTAGAAAAATAGGCTGTTTGTCCCTACACCATTTTCTCCACATTAAACCACCACTACCTCCGAGCGTCTTTCATCGATCATGATGGTGGATTTCCACTGCACTCCGAAAAAGACCAAATGACCATGAGCACAATTTTCTCTATTCTGACTGGTAGCGCATTTGTTCATCCGAAACTTGCAGGATAATTGGATATATTATAGCTGCAATTTTCGCGTAGAGCACATACAGGGGCTTAAACCACCAGTACTAGGCCCAGCTATCGGCCGCGGGCCTTTCCCGTTAACGCGCCGACAGCTTGGGGGTTGGCCAAGGGAAGGCCCTGTTGCTGTCTGAAGGCCGGGGCCCGGTTCTGTAGGGACAACCCTACAGAGGAAACCAAGAAAGAAAGAAAAAATATCAAACACACAAAAATTAAAAAAGAACAAAAACGAATGGAAAAAAAATTGAAGTCGTTCGGGAGAGAGAGAGAGAGAGAGAGAGAGAGAGGGAGAGAGAGAGGGGCGAGAGAGAGGGAGGGAGGGGCGGCAACCTGCACGGAGGGTCGGGGCGAACTCGGTGCCCCTCCCTCTCTCTCTCTCTCTCTCTCTCTCTCTCTCTCTCTCTCTCTGTGGACAGCACAAAAGACAGTAATCATGGCGGTGTATTTTTCCATGTTGTAGCTGAAGATTCACTCTGGTTTTGCACATTTCGAGAGTGATCCGGCTACAGAGAGAGAGAGAGAGAGAGAGAGAGAGAGAGAGAGAGAGGGAGAGAGAGAGAGGGGTGGTCCGTTTGCCACGGCCCTCCGTGCAGGTCGCCGGCCCCCCCTCTCTCTCTCTCTCTGGGTCTCTCCACCACTTTTGAAATGTGCAAAACGACAGCGAATCTTCCGCTAGAACATGGAAAGATACACCGCCATGATTATTTTTCTGCATGTCCAGGTACTGGCAGGTAGTGACTGTGCTTTGTCTTTTTTCCATGTTTTTTTTAATAATGGATTTGGTCCCCTTTTTCTGTGGTTTCTTTTTGCATTTTCTGTGTTTTTTTTTTTTCTCTTCCTCCGACTAGTTCGCGAGTTAGCGCCTGGTAGTTCGAGCCTTGGCAAGGCCCGGCATACTCGTCGGTCGAGGCTCAGACTTGATAGCTGGGCCAAGTACTGGTGGTTTAAGGGTCGGATACCACACTACTTACCATATTAAGTACTTTCTGGCAAAGTTCGGGATCCCACCATTTTCCGCACGAGCGGCACTGCCATCGCATGAAAGTGGAAACGTTTGTAGTTGTGGCGCTTAGCGCGCATGTAGCCGGGAGAGAAGGAAATCGTGAGAAAGGCAAACCTCTACCCTGCAGCTAAAAAGATGGAAGGTTTTTTTTTTTTTTTTTTTTTTTTTTTTTTTTTTTTAATGTGTGCGTGTATTTTCTCCTCGTCCTGGTTGGCTAGCATGCTAGATTTGCCAAAAACAAAGGGCACGTTAATAGTAAAAGTTTTAGGTTTCTATTGGCATGGGTCTGTGGGATGCAATTTTTCTATCCCGTTTGGTCTGGCCCCCCTCCATCTTTTTCGATACTTTTACGTTTTTTACTTACCGTAAGTAGTGTGGGATGACCCTAACTCGAGAACATCATGCAGTGACACAGTCAAGTGGAAACACTCAAAATGAAAAGACATGAAAAAAGAAGAAAGGAGAAAGAAAGATGAACAAGAGATAGAAACCCCGAGCGCATCAGCTCGAATGATATCCAATGAAGTCCAAAGAAAAGGATGGCGGAAAAGCCCGTCATAGCATGAAAGCATCTGGTGAGACCCGACAGCTGTTTCGGCATGCTCGCCTGGCCCAGTGAACTGGCTCTCCTCAAGGGTGCGCTGGGAATGGAAGAATAGACGAGCTATACTACTATATATCATAGGGAATCAGACACAGGTCTGAAAGGAAGATTTGAGACAAGCACCGGGAGGAAAAAACCTGTATAAGAACCCGTGCGCAAGAAAGATGAGCAATAGCGAACCTCAGCAATCAAACAGCATCATACATATGAGTCCAGATGGTCTTGACTTCGAACCAACAGCAGAATTGCATCACGAGATTCACCAAATAAGAACACACCTAGAGTTCATAATTGATAATGCTGAAATAGTCCGATCATCATCAACGAAGAACCAGAGTTGATATCCTATCTGGTGCTTGCCGCTCGGCGCCCAGACTACTGTGGCAGATTCTATCTAGCCTACACTACGATGCCGAAAGATGACGTCAACAACATTCCCGAAGTACGAGCATATGGCGACCAATGTTGCACGCTTCCAGCACCAGTCATGTCTCTCGCCACACTCACAACCTCGTTCCCCAAACACACAGATGCCACTAGCACCCAAGGACCACCCTGCGCTTCACCCAGCTTACAGCAACGCAGCTCGGCTATGGCTGCGTGCTCCTTCCCTGCTCGCCCGTGAGAGCGTAGGCGCCAGCCAGCACAATAGCGCAGCATGCAGCCAGCACCCGAATGCCCAATGAGGAGGCAGGCCCTTTGCTATATCGAAGTGGCCTGCCTACGTCCAGTCTCAGGAAGCTTCCAGTAGGCCCCGATAGCCTGAGGCCCAGCACGATCGAGAACAGGTCTGGGCCAGCGGTAGTTGCATGTGCCCAACTGCCTTTGACATGTGTTTGGCCCAGTACACGTATCCCGCCCAGGGCATGCTTTCCATTCATTCACACAGGCGGCCCAGGGCCTGGATTTCTTCAACCAACTGGCACTGCGCAACTGCCTGAATTTCCTTGGTTGCGCAGTGGCCGAAAAAGGGCCCTGAGGGCCTGAGGGCCTCGTCGAGCCTGCCTTCACGTAGGGTGGCCGAGGGTCTGTATAGCAGGGCCAAAAGGGGGTCCATAGAGGCTCTAGCCTCGCATTCCCTCCTCCACATCTTCGATAGTCCTCTGAGAAGATCAGTCTTCAATGATCTGGCGCTTTCCCTTCTGCAGAGATTTCTCATAGTGGGCTACGACCTGAGGAGCGGTCCACATGAGTTCCTCCCGAGTAAACCAGCGGTCCTCCTTGGGATCTGTGTGATGTCTGAACCGGACTCGGTACTGCAGTTTGGGCTTCGGCGGACGTCCCTTGCCTGTGGACTTCTGCACTGTCAGCTCCCTGTGATCTACGATGTCATCGATGTCCACCTCTCCATCCATGGTTGGGGGCAGCATTGAGCGTCGCGAGGGAAACTGATCGGTTTCCTCGAATGGTGCAAGCTTAGAAGTTAGAAGCGTGAAAGACTGGGTAGGCACGGAGGTGACCAGGGATCCGGATAACATAGGATGGCCCATCCGGATCGTTCCCAACAACATCCAACACTTCCCAAGGCCCGAAGTACTGAGGCATGAGTTTGCGGGAAATCCCATGCTCTTGTCCCAGTTCTGAAGACTTAACCCAGACCCTATCCCCAACCTGAAAAGTACTAGAAGGATGGCGGTGTCTGTTCTCAGACTCGATCATTGCCGCCTGCGCCTTCTGCATTTGTTCTACCGCCTGCTGCATTTTCCATTCATACCTTAGATACCTATAGGCAAATTCTAAGGTGCCCGGTGCAGCAGTTGACTGATTCTCGGGTAGGAGAAAGTCTAAGGGCAATCTAGGCTTGAAGGTCAGTAGTAGGCTGTTTGGGCTCACCCCGGTGGCGCTGTGTATGGCGTTGTTATAGAGGCTGGCGATGAGGGCGATTTTCTCATCCCATTCCACCTGGTTGGGCTTAATGTAATGCCTCAACAGGTGTTGTACAGCGCGGTTCAGTTGCTCGGCTTGACCATTGGCCTCTGGGTGATTCCCAGAAGTCATCTGCAACTGTGCCCCCTGTTCAGCAGCAGCGGCCTTCCACAGCTCACTGGTGAAACGGACATCCCTGTCACTGACTATGAACTTGGGCAGACCAAAATCCCTCACCAAGCTCTCTTTAAACAATCTGATGACATACTCGGTCTTGGCTGACTCCGGCATGGCTATCAACCTAGCATATTTTCTAAACCTATCCACGATGACGAAGATGTGTCTCATGCCGCTCTTGCTGGTGACCAGAGTATCCATGAAGTCCATGGACAGGCTCTCACCTGGCCTTTCCGGAATCGGAAGGGGCTTCAGAAGCCCAAGAGGAGCCTGAGTACGTGACTTTTCTCTTTGACATACCTGACAAGTCTCCACGTACAACTGGGTGTCTCGCATCATCGCGGGCCACCAGAACCGATGCAGCAAATTGGCTGCGGTCTTCTTATACCCAAAATGTCTGGTGGCATCATGGCACTCACCTTAGAGTCACCTAAAAACAAACTACGCAAAGACTCGCTATTAGGAACACACAGTCGTTTATTCCCTGCCTTCTCAAGAAACAGCAAGCCATTGACCAACTCAAACTCGGCAGAAGTCTTCTTGTCCTTCGCCTGAAGTTTGCGTATGATCTCAGACATAAACTGGTCCTCTTGATAGGCTTCCACCAAAGAGCGAGTAACATCGTCCTTCAGATCGAACTCAGTAATTAGCGCAC